CGTCTTTGTCAATGTCTTAAAATGTTTGCTTCATTGCTGACTGTAGGTATGAAGCTTTGGTATAGTGTGTTGTCACACACCTCACTTAGCACCGAGGTGGGCATGTGGCTTGTCCAAACTAATGATGAACAAATCAATAAGTATACATTTAAAAAATCTGTTGTTTAGCTAAAACGAATCTCCTGAAGCCTTCCTGTAGCTCCTCTCTCACTTCATATCCTGTTTAAGCTCACAGTGAGGCCTGTTCTGAAGAAACGCCTTCAGTGGTCGGTCAAAGGGCGGAGAAATGGCGTACTGCAGCATTTGTCTGTAACAGTAGCTTTTGCATGTGCCTCTGCTTGTTATTCTCATGAAAGAAATGTAGAGAACTTTTGGAAAGTGCGATGAACCCTAAAACAAATAAATATTTCAAAACATTTTTGACAAAGAGATTAATTGTTTTAATAACATAAAATGCCATGTGTCCACTTACAGCTGTGGAAAGCTGTGGTGGATATATATGCAATGCTTCACCCAACCCAACTCTTAAATCAAATAAATTACTATCCATCATGGATCATTTAACCACCCTCTGAACCACTTACTGGACAGGCATTAATTTCTCAAATAGACTGATTCAGTTCTGCACCCCAAGGACAGAAACAGGGCAACTTACTTAAGCACAAGTACCAGCGTACAGAGTCAACAAAGTCATTGCAGTCACATTTTAAATGCTCTGCACTCGCTTCAGAACACCATTCTTACGCAAAGAACATAAACCTGGAGGTGATAAGAAATTTTTGACTGAAGTGGGGATGCATGTTTGAATAAGTCTATAAATGCAAAGAGCTGAGACTTGGATAAAAGACTACAGATTCAGTCAGACTAGGCTGTGTCCAGCCTGTTTTCCCATTTTTCTGCAAACAGGAAAAGTAACAAGTGCAAAATATAATTTAAAAAGTAGCAATTAAAGTATTAAATTATTAAATCTCTTACATGTCCATTTTCTAATCTGTTTTTTTTTTTTCTTTCATTGTTGCCTTTTGTTTTTTGTACACACACTACTTGCACCTGAAACCCACAGAGATAACTATAGACAGACTTGATGCATGACAACTTAGTCATTGCTGTGGTTGAGCTTTCAAACAGAGGAGTGAATACAAAGGGGTTTTCTCTCTGTTTTAATCTCAAGCAGTTGGTCTTGCACCAGTGTCTTATCTATTTTAGGAAACTGAAATAACACTATATTATTACCACGAATCATATTTAAATTAGAACAGTCTAGAGAAGCTGTTGAAGGACATCTGAGAAAAGGACACACACTCAGACCTGTTCAGTCATGCTGGGACTAGTTTTACTTTACTGTGATTTGGGGTTTTTTCCTATGTAGTTGCGAAGAAATGAGAGGAGGTGCTGATAATTCACTCACTCTTTTTTCTTTCTTGTTTTAATAATAGCAACATTTCACAGCATTGTGCAGGAGGTTTGACATCCTCAAAGAAATAAATTCCAGTGTGCATCATTTACAGTTGTGGACTTTCACCCTGTCAAAATTAAAATGATCTACAATGTGCAACATTACTACAGCATGAACAAAAAAACGGAACTATACACTACAACATTGCAAAACTATGCTGTTTACTTAGTGTTTTAACCTTAAGAGAGCAGCATTTGTCTCTTTATAAAGGTTTAAAAAAGCCCACTCAAGTGTCTTGTAGCTCTTCACTTGCTTTATATTTGATGAGCGCTCATAGTGTGGTCTGTTCTGAGTCAACAGCTTCTGTGGTCAGCCATAGAATGGAGAAATGGTACCTAACCTAACCTTGGTCTGAAAGTGAAGATGTTATGTGCTGCTTTGCTCGTTGCTCTTGACATGCAGAACAGCATTCACTGAAACCACAAGTGAAAAGCTGAAAAGAACATATTCAGACTCCTAAACACACGTTTAGTCCTTAACATTAATAATAGTTAGTAGCTGAGATGTCTGTCTTGCTCTGGAGTTTTGTGCTGCTCCTGCTAAAATAACCTTTTTGAGTGTAAACCTTTAGCCATTACTTTGCGTTTGTCATTGGCACATAAAAAGATAAAAAAGAACATTTTTTTAAACAAAAACCTTTGCAGTTCATCCTGTTTTCTCTATATTTATACCAGTTGCTAAAATGACAAAGCTCTGCCTCAGTGACTCAATACTTCCTTCCTAACAAGGCCTCACTCCTGCCCTCACAGAGATCTGGGTCAGAGTTCATGTTCACTTTGCTGTCTATGTGGAAAGGTCAGGTGTTCAAATCCTTTCATTACCCAGGCTATTTTTTCTCATTCATTATATTAATTAGGTTTACATTTGTACTTTGACTTGAATTAAACCTGATTAACGATTAGCAGAATCACATACAAATGAACGCTGATGTAAGACTCTTTATCACTTTATTATTATTGGTTTACTACTTTTTAAGTCCTTTTATCCCTCTTTTGAATGGAGATGAGTCAACCAGGGGATCTTAATCTCTCTGACATGGAAGAAGACATGTATCAAGCTTAACAGTGAAGAGTAAAATGTCGCCATTTCTAGATGACTTTTAGTAAGATCGCACTGCCTAGAACATAGCTCTCTCTCTTATGTTTTTGTTTTTTTAGTGAACATAAGTGCCTCCAATCATGTTGGACATGTCAACTCTGGACCAAGCCAGCAATTTGGTAAATATGGCTATTGGGTATTAGGATATTTCCTGAAAGCGAAGCAAAGCAAATGTTTCTGACTCCTGCATTATTCCCAGTTAAATACAATCTGAAATGCCTGTGATTTCAGACTGTGAACTACGTAGGAGTGGATTTAATTTGGGACGGGTGTAGCTCGGGAGGTAGAGCAGGTCATCTACTAATCAGAAGGTTTGTGGTTTGTGTCAAATATCCTTGGACAAGATGCTAACCCCTCGTTGCAGCCAATGCATATGTCATGTGTGTGAATGTTAGACAGAAAGAACTTGTTTAGAAAAATCATAGAAAAAAAATATTTGGGTGAATGAGGGAAGTTGTATAAAAAGCTTTGAGTACTTAGAGTAGAAAAGTGGTTTATAAGAACCAATGCATTTACCATTGCTTCTGTTGTGGAAGTTTTCCATTTAAATAAAGCCTGCAGACGAGCGGTGAGCGGTAGCTAACATTCTTTAATCAAACACACAAAGTGCAGACAACCAAGCTTGTGGAGAGCCTACATGACCGCGGGGCAAACGGTCAGCAGAGTCTCCCAAAACAAAACAAAAGTTTCTTCCTGTGGAGCTGTCTGCTTCCTCCAACTTCCTTACTAGACCCCCACCATTTGTCTTAATGTATGAGTGTAAGACTTGTTAAAATCCAGTGGCACCAAGGCATTAGACAATAAAATAATGTGATTAATACATAAGTAAAAGAAACACTTCACAAGGACAGAAAGTCACCACCAGACCGTGTGGACGCTGTTAGATTGGACTTTCACAACTCTCAGTGTAGGCCACCTGTACTGCTTTCACTCAAGTTGGTGCAATGAAACAAACAGTAACTGAACTAAATGCATTTTACTTTGATTCACTGCACCAACATACATGTCATTACTTAGATGTGTTTATCAAATGTCCCCTTACAAACATACTATGCCACTTATATGGAACAAAAAAAGAAAGGATATTTCATTACAACAAGATGCATGAATGATGCAGAAAACGTCCTTTTAACTGCTCACTGTTGCACATTTCATTGTCTTTTGTACAGATGAAAATAGCTGTTTGCTTTGAATAATGTTAAATCTACAGACTTGTATGACATGTGAGTCACCTGGCTGAATCCATCCATATTGTTCAATAAATCTGAAGCTTCTTTAACGGCGGAACATAAGACAGGAAGTAAGAAAACATGACAGAGAAAAGCAACAATCAGACCACAAATGATCACACCACGATGGGAATGTTAATCTTTTCAGTTCTTAGGTGTATATCAACACATAATAAAAAATAAAATAAAAAATAAAACATCCCCAGCAGGTTTCATAATGATCTAAATGCAACTTCAGATGAACGACAAAACATGTTACATTGTATCATATTTATGTTACAAAAATTAAGCTAAAATGCAGAATAACAGACTTTGAATCCTTCCATAGGATATAGGAGGAAAAGTAGAAGCAGGTACTGAAGTTGATCTTTAGCAAGTTTGCTACCTCTATAAAACCAAAGACCATTGAATTTAAAGAGGGTATACTTTGTTACTATAGCTGTATGCAGAAGTAAACATTTTCATCATCAAGATGCATTTACTATAAAACACATTTAAACTCTAATATATATATAGAAAAACAGCAAAAACCCTACTATGTCTAAGCAAACATCAATTAGGTAATTTCATATCAAAGGATGGTAAATATGCCTAACCGAAGACAAAAGCCTCGGCAGCTGTGTAGATCTGCTCCTTCTTCATAGGTTTTGCATACTTTTTTGTGCATCCATCAGCTTTCATTGTGGTAAAAACAACAACAGAAAACATCCATGTGTCCTTATTCTGGGAAAACAGAGTAAATATAATGTATTAGAAATCTCAAAATATTAGAAAAAACAAAAAGCTCAAAAAGTTCCTTACCTCTTGTTTCTTCTGATCAGTAAAATATTTCCTCTGGATATCAGCTTGAATATAGAAGATACAGGTAACAATTAATATAAATGTAAGATTTGTGTGGTTCTTTTTCATAGAGAACAATGCAATTTGAATTACCTCTGCAGTGATCACTGTTTTTCTTGATCATCCAAATGAGAGCAACTATAACAATCAGACTTATAGCCAAGACAGTGCACAGTAGAAAAATTGTGCTGCTGGCCGTCTGTGACCACACTCTGGTTTCTGAAACAATATTAAAACTAAAAAATCAAGTTATGTTGGACAAAAACTAAATTGTGTTTAATATCACCTTCAGATTAGATTACTGTTAATGTAAAACCAAAGTGAGTCAATATTTAATATTCAAACTATTGACTTATGTTCTGGACTGGAGAATATTATCATTCATTAATGTGATCACAAGTACCTCGACTGTCCAGTTTTGTTCCATTTCCAAATAATATTTCTCCACATGTGGCCACAGCACAGTAGTAAGTCCCAGAATCAGAGGAGCTGATGTTCTTAGACAAGCGATAAACACAACTCTGCTCAGTCTCAGATCGTTTCTCACATTCATGATGTCTGTTTCCATCGGTGTATATGATGCTAGGATGAGATGTATTTGCTTCCCTGAACCAGAACACATTGTGACCTCCTGGACATGTCTTTCTGTTAGAGCTGGAGAGGACTGAACACTGAAGAGTCACAGAGTCTCCTGGATGGACTTTCTCCTTAACAAAAGTGTAGTTTGATGTTTTCTGGGTGTTTCCTGATTAATAAAAATGTGTTAACAAAGCACATTGTGAAGGATTCATGTACTGCATCTATAAAATGTGTCTTTAAAATGAATTAGGAGCAAATTAAATGTAAATTAAAATCCATTTGTATGAGTATATTCACTGTTTTCTGATCATGCTTTTGACAATTAATAAGCTGTTGTTATAAATTATACTGTACAATTTTACAGACTGAAGCATGTGGCAAAACTCCATGAAAGAAGCGCACATCATTACCTTTTACTAACAAATACGTCCCGGTCCATTCAGTATTCCTACGCCATTCTGTGAATCCACAGTGATAGATTCCCTCGTCCTCTTGATTTGTCTTCAAAATGGTCAGGTTGGTAAAGTGTTTATTGTGATTTACCTTCAATCTGGAGTTATTAAACTCAGGCGCAAACTCAGGTGTTGCAGATTCCCTCATTGTCCAAATTACTTTCAGGGTGTCCCCGGCACGCTGCTTGTACCAGTGGACTTCTTTACGAATGGTCTCAATCACAGGCAGTTGACATGGAATGGTTACAGTTTCCCCAAGTTGAACTGAAGTTACTGGAACAAGTGTATCTAATTTAATAGAAAACACACAGAAATCTAAAACATTAATTCACAATGACACAGGAAAACCACCAAGCAAACAGCATGTATTCAAAACCAAATCAGAAAAAGCACTTACATCCTTGATGGAGAAGAAGGAGCGTAACCCATAACACGATCATCTTGACATGTCTTTTGTTATGGACTTGTAGGTATTTCACTGTTTGTAGGAGGTACTTGGACCTTTTATGTCAAACTGTTACACCGATCTGATTGGCTGATTGGTTATCACAGAATATATAGATCAGAATCAGAGAATGAAGTGAACTTCCTGTCACTTTGTTTCATCCAGGTCTTTGAGGAGTAAAGCGTCTGTTGCTTAGCCATTTCGTCACTCATTTTAAGTATAATACAAGGCATTTTTAAAGTTTTTCCAGCAAGTTCTCCAATGATTAATTTGTCATTTGTTTCTACCTTCTGGCAATAATTCATTTCAGAATTTCTAAATAGACTTCTTGAGCTTCTTTCTACTTTAAAATGTTTAAAATGTTTATAAGGTAAGGTAGGTATGTAAGTGGATTCAAGTCCTATCTGGGGACATCTTAAAGCTTTGCTTTGACCCAGTACATGTTTTTATTTTCGCTTCCTGCCTGGTTAGGTTTAGGCAGTAAAACTAGGTTAGGTTCTGCATCTGAACAGACCATTTTACACCACTAAAATGTTTTAGAAAGCTGTTTCTTATGTTAGCTGAGTTATTGTGCACTACACTATCAAAAAGCAAATGCATTTATTTTTATAGCAGTTATAGGTCCCTTTATCTGGCAGCATGGTGATGTGGTAGTCAGTGCTTTTACCTCACAGCAAGAAGGTTCTAGGTTTGAATTGAGACCGAGGCCTTTCTATGTGGAGTTTGCATGTCCTCTCCGATTACACCTTACTTTCATTGTCTCAGTGGAAGAAAACAGATGGACATATCTTCCCCAGCAAACATTTTGTTCCATTTACAACAAAAAAATAAAGCAAAGTGTCAGATATCCAGTGATATGGCCCACAAATAACTACATTTACCAAATGTTAGGGAAACCTTTTTTAGGCGATTTAAAAAAATAGCTGATGGATCAGATTTTTTGTAGGTCAAGCTCTAATAATGTTATGCTTGCTCCATGCAAGGCTGTATACCTCCAAGTTTTACGTTATAAGTAGCAACTGCTAATATTGTGAGTGCCAAAACTGATTAAAGGAGCATTTCCAAAGGAAGTGACAGGTGACAATGTAGAGCAGCGACCATAAAAAATCTATAAAAATTGCATTTCAACATTTCAGGTGGCTGCAGCTGAAATATTTGTTGGTTACATGAAGGTAGTGGGTCTAATGTTAATCTCTTGCAAATTCAAGTAGGTGATTACAATGAGATTGAAGAATGCCATTGATTGATATGTGAGAGGGTGGTAAATGATATGTGAGAGGGCTACCTAGCTAATCGTAACTCGGATTGTCCCCTAGTATGTTTTCACAAAAAAAACCCAAAACAGCTGTGAAAAAGGTGTGATTTTGCACTCTCTTATTATCTTATATATATATTGGTCAACAAACTCAGTATTGGTTCCATTTCTGTTTGTCTTCTACATACTTCAAAAAATTCTAGGTCATTTTCCCTATAGACGATCCTGCAGTGCTGTATAATTGACAGCCAGGTGGAGGAATGCCGAACATTAGAGGAATATTTTGGGGTGTGCCTTGAAAGAAATCATCTAATTCTACACAGGGATAAAATCAAAGGATTAATGTTCAACTTGAAAGAGAAGAGTACTATTATAAAGCCCTTGTCATCCTGGAACAGGATGCTGATGTCAGGGAGGAGTCCTGACCTGAATGTCCACTTCAACAACAAACTGAGCTGGAAGACCAACGGAGAGGGTAAATTTAAAAAAAAAAAAGGCAATGAGTGGACTGCATTTTATGTAATTGTAGGATTTACTGTATCAAAAACCTAAAACTGGTCTGCCTGAAATACTTTGCGACATTTTTCATTTCTGTTGTTTTCTGCTTTTTGTTGCACTTGATCAAAATATTAAAATACTCGAAATCTTGTCATTTGATCTTTTTCCTTACAAAGGACAGTTACAAACTCTACATTATCAGAGACAACCCACCCAGTCTGCTTGTCAGTTATTTAAGCGGTAAGATACAGTTGCACCAGTAATGGTTGTGGTCACACTCTCTATCCTCTACGCTTACTTCAGAGCGCCACTCTCACTGTGTCACAAAACACACACCGATCTGGAGGTGTCACATAAACACACTGACCTGAAAGCTTCTTCCTCAACAGAGATATATGTGCCAAAGTGACAGAAAACCCAAAAAGCAAATAAAATGCTGCATCTCAAATTCAAGACTGAAATATTTGTACAGACAGTAGAAAGATTTAGGTAATAAAACAAAAATATTTAAAAATCAATCAAGCAAGGCTTTATTCGCCACGTGCGAATAAAGCCGACCACACACACACAACACAGACATCACATGGGGATATGGGGATACAGGTCGGAGATCGGTAGCGTTACAGAAAAAACCCCCACTGAAATATACACTACAATGGGAAAGTACAAGAGGAAAAAAGAGACTTCTACTCATGCTGGGCTCCTGGGAGGATAGCATGAGAACAGAAAACAAAAAAACTCCTCTGCACAAAAAAGTACATAAATGTCCACAGCACAACATTATGGAACATGTGACAAGCCACAGGGTCGGGTGGGGGGTGGTAAATGGCCTGTATTTATATAGCACTTTACTAGTCCCTACGGACCCCAAAGCACTTTACACATCCAGTCATTCACCCACTGGTGATAGCAAGCTACATTGTAGCCACAGCCACCCTGGGGCGCACTCTCAGAGGTGAGGCTGCCGGACACTGGCGCCACCGGGCCCTCTGAGGACTATGCTTAAAAGCTGGGTCCGTGCCAGGAAAGCAGAGTTTCAAAAGACTACCATCTAAATCTTAAAAAAAAAATCAAATTTCTGCACCCAATTTTTGCTTTTGAAAGTCATTAAAAATCCATGCTGCACAATCATTTCACCCTGGAAAAAGAACAATTCAAAGAAATAATTAAAGCCAGCACTCCTGGCTAAAAAAAAAATTCTTACATTTTTCAAAATCTGTTGAAAAATGTTGGAATATATTGTTAAAGAAAAGCATACCATTACAACTTTGCACTAGTTTCACTTTACCTGATGTTAATGACATAAATTCAAACATATCAGGTTTTCCAGTTGAACTCGCCTTTTCCAGTCACTTTTTAACAGAATGGGAAGACAGCAGGGGAATGATGCGAGCATCCATGTGGTATGCACTTTAACTACTTTGACTTTTCAGTCATGGTGTAATCAGCTTTAGTAATGTCTGTTTTGCACTGATTTCTTAAGTACTGGTTTCAATGTAGACTTAAATGAAATGAGAAAAAAGAAATAAAAACTCATCATAAGACTGCACTAGAAATGTTACAGTATGCATGCGGTCACATTTTTATAGATAGAGGTATAGAACAACAACACATTATAGCTCATTCGCTTTAAGCAAATATCCACAATGTTATATGACATAAAGGGATGATGGGGTGGTAAACAGATCTAATCCAGTCCAAAAGCCTTGACAGCCATGTAGATCTGCTGCCGCTTCACTGCATCCTGTCTTTTGTATTTGTCAGCCTTCATCATCGTAAACACAACAGCAGAAAACATCAATGTGTCCTTTTTCTGGGAAAATACAATACAAAAATATTATAAACATTAAAACTTGAAAATCTAACACACTCTACCATTAGGTACTTTACCTGTTGGCTTTTCAAATCACCAAAGTTTTTCTCCAGGACAGCAGCTTGAATATAGGACATATAAGTAATTAATGCAAATGTAAGATTCATAACATCTAGAACTCTGAATAACTCCAACTACCTTTGCAATAATTACTGTTGGTTTTCTTGATTGTGTAAGCGAGGACAGCAATAACAATCAGAACCAGTACAGGACACAGCAGAAAAATAACTGTAGTGGCACTCTGTGACCACACGCTGCACCCTGGGACAATATTAAAAATAAATATATGACAAAATTAAAGTTACACAATCACTTATTTTTCTGATTTTCTAAACAATAGACAGAAAGAGAAGCTGATAGAGAAACTGGTACCTTGAATGTCCAGTTTAGTTCCTTTTCCATACAATATCTCCCCACATGTGGCCACAGCACAGTAGTAAGTCCCAGCATCAGAGGAGCTGACGTTCTTAGAGAAGCGATACGCACAGCTCTTTTCAGTCTCTGATCTCTTCTCACATTCATGATGTCCGTTTCCATCAGTATAGATAATACTAGGATGAGATCTATGTGATCCTTCTTTGAACCAGAATACCTCAAGACCCCCTGGACATGTCTTATTAACTGAGCTGGAGAGAACTGAACATTGGAGAGTCACTGAGTCTCCTAGACGGATGGTCTTCTCCTGAACAACGGTATAGTTTGATATCCTCTGGGTGTTTCCTTTGGAATATGAAACCGCATTAACAAATGATACTACAAAGAAAATTTGTATATATATATTTCAAATATAACTTTAGCTGTAACATTCAGTCTGATGATTACAATGAATATATTTAGATGCATTTGGAGTTATACAGAAATTTGAGCAAAATAGATGATGTCTTGCTTAGAGATAACATTTCTTAACATTTATAAAATGCATTTATAACATCTTAAAATTGCATGAAAGGAAATCACATTATTACCTTTTACTAACAAATATGTCCCCGTCCATGTAGTATCTTGGAGCCACTCTGTGAACCCACAGTGATAGATTCCCTCATCCTCTTGATTTGTTCTCAAAATCGTCAGGTTGCTAACATTTTTATCATAATAAGCCTTCCATCTTGAGTTATCAAATTCAGGTGCAAACCTAGGTGTTGCAGATTCCTTTAGTGTCCATATTATTTTCAGAGTGTCTCCAAGACTCTGCTTATGCCAGTGGATGTCTCTGCGGCCAGTCTCAGTCTTGGGTAGAACACATGTGAAGGTTACAGGTCCCCCGAGGTGAGCTGTAGTTACTGGAACGAGTGCAGCTAAATAGAAAACGAAAATCTTAAAGTCAGACAAAGCAGTGCAGGAAACAGCTTACATGTGTGGAAAAAATTTGCATAAACACTTACATCCTCGATTAACAAAGAGCAGTGCAATCCATAATCTGATCATCTTGTAAAGGCCTTGTGTTATGGACTTAGGTGCTTGACTGACTGTGGGAGGCATTGACACATGGGGCCTTTATGTCACCCTTCAAATAGATCTGATTGGTTATCTCTGAATACAGATTCAGGAGCTCTCCCGCTTACATTGGTTGCATCCAGGTATTTGAAGAGCAAATTAAATGTTCCTCATTCCTCATTTAAATTATAATCTAATTCATTTTCTATTGAATGTTGTGTTTCATCATTGTTCAATTTCTGCTTGGTTAGCTTTAGCCAGTAAAACCAAGTTAGATGCTGGATTTAACCCTTTAAGACCTACCATAGAACCAAGTCCGCCAGAGCTTATATTATATTTTTACATGCTGTGGAGCCATTTTTGGGAGCATTTCAAGTTGCTATACATCAATACAACCATTATAGCCCAGATTTTAATAATATGTATTCATTAAGTGCATAGTAATTACATAAAT